AAATAATTTAATTTTAAAATTAAAAGAATAACACATAATCTGTTCCAACTTGACAACCATCTATTTGACACATGAGTAGGCGATACTCGATACATCTGTCATTTGAATAATATTGTGTGGGAAGCCATTTTGAATCAAGTGCTGTTTACCAAAAATTTTCAAATTAAAAATGTAAAGTTTCTACGCGGATTTGAAATATTATCTCACCTTTTGGACAATCTCTCCATTCAGCCGTTTTCGAGTTTTATTCGGGCATTTGAAAGACAGCTCCATTTTTATATATAAGAAGATATATGGAAAGCCGTGTTCCATATGTAATATATTTTATCTATAATAAAATAGTAACGACACTATGTGTTATCATATTTATCATTTATAAAATATAGTTAGTATTTGCGTATTTACAATTAAAAAGAAAAGGTTTCAAGAATTATAATTTTGGCAATTAGACTAGAAAGAAAAAATAGGAAAGTCCGAACTGACACTTGCACTATTTTGTTTCCTCCGTGCTGTCACTATGATGAGCCTACCTGTCCCCAGTAGAAATGCGATGTGTGTTGACACGCCGCTACATATATATATATATATATATATATATATATATTGAACTGTAATAACAATTCGAATCATTATTTTGTTTTATAATTACAGAACGCGTTGCTAGTTATATGTAGGTTACCCGGACATCGGAAGTGCTTACTGTTGGATTTTGTAAATAGGTTGTAAACAATAAATTGATATATAAGAGTTAGACAAAAGTTAGACAGTCAGTCAAACCTGGAGTCAAGCTTAGAATCAAGCTTGGAGCCAGACATAGTATTCAGTAAAATGTAGTCTTTGCTGATATGATAACCAAAAGGTTAACAAATATTAATTGTAAAAATAGTGAATAATAAAGTATCATTTGAAGAAAGAAGTGTGTTTACAAATTACTATCAAGTCGCTGTTCGTCCTAAAGGCCTTTCACACTACCATTGGACTCTGGAGAGTCCACATTTTCAACAACTTTTTCCACATTTATTTCAACAACTATTCAACTGTTCACCGCTCGGCTCCAGCCTATCATTACAATTCCTGGTCGTACTGGTGATCCAGAACAAACATTCCAAAATATCAACCAACAGCCCAGGACAATTCAATATATATATATCTATACTAGCTGACCCGACAGACGTTGTTCTGTACCCACGTCTACAATTTTTCAATATTTTATACTAATATTTACTGCTTAGTTAAAAATAATAATTACTGTTTTTTGAATTACTATTTACACCAATATATGAGTTGAACGTAGAACTGTTTCAAATAAAATGATTGTTCTCAATTCCCACAGTTAATACTTTAATTATTCATTTAACAAATATTAAAAAATGTTCAATAAAATTGTATATTAAAAAGTATACACTGCGATTTGTAGAACAAATTTATTTCCAATAGCTCAATTTATTTTATTGAATTTAAGGGTTATACAATATTTTTAGTCATACCTGTAGATGTGGATGTATAAATGAAAGATTTTTTGTTTATTCACGACTAAAACATTGATTTTCCAAATTTATCACACTAAAAATGATCGTCTGCCTTTGTGATTTATGGTCATAGCATAAAATACACGTGTTGAAAATTGAAATCTTTTAAAAAGTACAACAAATTCAGAAAGAATTAATATATAGCATTCGCGGCAAAGATGCAATATCTATTTATTTTTCTACCCAAAATAATTGCTTCAATAATGTTGCCTATAATTTTTATAATTTCGTACCATATTTTAACTGGCTTTTAGTAATTTTAATATCTAAATTACATTTTTTTCTCCAATAAATCAATATACATTATTGCTTAAGTTTATATTTGAAGTGAATTAATTTGTAAAATCCTGTTCACATGTGCTCTATTCAACTTACGATCAACAAAATTATTTACTTGATATTTTGCTAATCTTTATCTTAAGTTCAGAAGTAAAAACAATTAGCACTCCGTCACCATCCACCGCATTAATTGGATTATTACCCTTTTAATTTTGATTTTATCAGAACTTGTAATACACTATTTTAAAGGTGATTAAATGAGCTACAACTTTCTCTATCATAAATTTCACCGTAACTTCTCTTATTGTGAAACGGCGAAGGGTTAAAGGGCTCGAAAGACCTCTGGTTGGACAGCTGCGCACTCCTTAATTAATACCTCTATCAATATTTGTGTAATGGAAAAATAATAAACAACAATAATTAGTCAGAAAAATACCTCAAATTTTCATATATATATATATATATATATATATATATATATATATATATACTTTTATACGTATTCTTTCAGAGATATTATAATGAGAAATTGGATGTTTTTTTAAGTTTTTTTTTCATAAAATCATGAGTTTTTTGAAAATCGTTTGTACCTAAGTTGTGGTATTTTCTAGAATCCATCAAGATCTCTTAAACCAAGTTAATTCTAGATGGATTATTGTTAATTATTATTAATTAATATTATTTTTATATTATTTTTAAATTTGGTGGAAATGTCACTGAAAAACTATTTGATTTAAATGAAAAAACATTATATGCGTCTTTTATTTGCATGATAGTTTACTCATTTTACACGTAGAAGTACTCATTTTAAAGCTTATTTTGAGCACTATAAAAACCCATTTTCATATCTAGTCTAATAATGTTCCTAAAACACTATAAAATAGCGATTTATTAAGATTTTAATTGATATAATTTTGTTCATTACATGATTTTCGTTAAAATGTATTTTTTTGAAGATATTAGCAAAAAATGATGAAAAACGCAAAAAAGAAACAAATTTTCAGTAGCCAGTAACTTGAAACGTATTTGCTTTTTTGAAAAACATTATTAAACATTTTTCTCTTATAATTAGTTCTTTTATCGATACCCAACGTTATTTTGAAAAAAGTAAAATTACACCACTGAAAAGAAATGTCATCCACCCGAGAAGTGGTAAAGGAGTCTAAATTGTTTTCACTTCTGAAGAGTAAGATGAACCTAGTTCCAAAATTCCAAACGAAATGGAAAACAGTAAAAAAAGTTCAGACCGAAAGCGCTCCATTGAGTAAATATTCCGTACCCAATGACAAGCATATACATTTTTGACACAATGAAACTTCTAAATAATTAACTTCCCGTAGGGTAAGTTATAGTAATCGCAAAAAAATCGAAAATGAAAATTTTTGCATTTCTCGACGTTTCAAAACCTTCTGAACATTTTGGCATACCTTAGAAAAAATGGATGTATGTGTGTGTGTGTGTGTGTGTGTGTGTATGTATGTATGTATGTATGTATGTATGTATGCATGTATGTATGTATGTATGTGTGTGTATGTATGTGCGGATACAAATTTTCGTCGACGATTTCGGGAACACCGATCAACCGATTTGAATAATTCAAAAAACATTCGATTCTTAATGATAAGGAGACGTGCTGATTAGTTTTTGGCAAAGGCAGGTCTAGCCGTTCCGAAGATACGGGGCAAAAAAAGCCGAAAACGGTAACTCAGTTTTTAAGAGAACGGAGCGTCCGATTTTAATAATTCAAAAAACATTTTACTTGTATTGACAGGGTAAAAAATCGATCAAATTTTCATAAAGGCAGGTATAGCGGTTTCGGAGATCTAATAAAAAAAGTAAAAAAAAATGCCATTTGGCGGTCAAAAATGATCATTAGACATGTGCACATCAAATTATCAGATATTTTATAGAGATTTTAACAATAAGTATAATTTTGGTTTACATTCCTATGGGTTCCGTACCAATGTTTACGCGTTAGACGTCGACGCGGCGCTTACGCAGTTTGATATTTCGTCTTTATGCAGTTAAAGCAGTACGATTGCTTTGAAAAAAAGTTTAGATCTTTCAAAATATGTCAAAACAAAGAAAACATTTTATTTCAAAAAAAATAAATAAAAAAAGTAATTTTTTGTCTAATTGTTTGTCAAAAATCTTATATTTTCGAAGTAATTTTTTTTCAAAAATGTTAATCGTTTTTAAAAAAATAATAATTTTTGGTACGGGAAGTTCCAGCAATTTGCCTTAAGGCACGATGCCTTAATTGCCTTAAGACAGAATTCCACTTACAGCTAGTTTTTTTTTGTATTGTGACTTAGTGTAGTAAGGCAAAACGACCGCAAATTGAATATTTTTGAGCGCATTCACTTATGGCTCGTCTCATTTGCACGAATTCGTACGGCGAATCTGTTCGCAAAGTGCGCAAACAAAATTATTGCAAGCAAAAGCGAACCACGCGCACGTTGAGAACAAGATTCGCCGTGCGCGTCAGTCGCATGCGCAGACTGTCAGACTCATGTTATATTATTTGCATCTTATATTATTTTAATTATGGCACATCTCAGCTGCTTTTCGACAATAATAATGTAGACATTACATTTTCTTTATTTTTAATCATGAATTTATTATATTTTAATATTGCCTTAGCCTATAAGTGAATAGAAATGTTTGGCAAATGACAGTTGTCATTTGTTTTTAATGTCAAACCATGCCTTAAACATTTTAAAAGTCAAACAATGATAAGCGGTTTTTTGTATTTTTTCCATTTATTTCTACAATCTAACTATATTTCTATGAATCAAAACATTCTAGAAAATTTCCCGAACAAACTTCAGGAAGATTTATGAAAATCCGAACTATAGTTTAGGAGGATTAATGAAACTTACATTGTTACAGAAGAATTTTATATATAAGATATAGTGTTGAATAATCGGGCATAGCAACAAAGAAATATGAATTTTTTAAAAAGTCTCTTTTTAACACTGGAATAAGAAATTTATAAGTACGTTCAGCTTTTTGTAACTTTTGTATTTTTTAATGCTGAAACGTAAGAAATTAAAATATTTTTTTACAAAAATTCATGATTTTTATTGATATGTATAGCGTATTATTAAAATTACGTATATAATTTTATTTAAAAACTATTTCTTCGTTTCTATTATTATAGTTTTTATTTTTCTAGCATTCTTAAATAAAATGGCGGGAGCTGTGAGGAATTTCACGCTAGTGAGTGAAATACCGAAAGAAGAGATACTGATAATATTAACAAACTGCCACACCGAGTCCCATTGGGAAGATAGGCTTGTGTAAGTAATTTAAATCCACCTTTTATTCTTCACGACATGTGTGTAATTAGAACATTCTTATTATTATAGCTCGAGTGCAAAATCGAGACCAACGAAATTAGGAGATGTTTCGGTGACATCGTTTCTTGGTCACACGGTTTTGTTGTGTGGGGTGTCGGAGCGTAACAAAGGTATATATTTCTTTTTATGTATATATATATGTATATATATATATATATATCTTTATAATAGGTTACAAAATGAAGGGCGTCAGTTTATGCTTCGAAACGATAAAATTGCTGTTTTAAAAGGAGGAGCGTGTATTATCGCTCTTGCCGGTTCTTTATGAAGATAGTGGAAACGTGGAGGAACACTTCCTACATTTTTTTAAAGATCTTTTTAAAGAATTAAGATTATATGATTACAAAAAGGTAATGTTAAATTTTTATAATAATACATAAATACATAGCAATCAGCTATTATAATTTTATTAATTATTATGTTAGTCCACAAACGATGCGAGTTGGGGCGGCGGCGTAGGAAACAACCGCGGCGGCGTAGGAAACAACCGCGGCGGCGTAGGAAACAACCGCGGCGGCGTAGGAAACAACCGCGGCGGCGTAGGAAACAACCGCGGCGGCGTAGGATACAACCGCGGCGGTAGAGGAAACAACAGCGTCGGTAGAGGAAACTACAGCGGCGGTAGAGAAAACTACAGCGGCGGTGGAGAAACAACAGCGGCGGTAGAGGAAACAACCGCGGCGGTGGAGGAAACAACAGCGGTGGCCAACGAAATTACCGCGGAGACAACCGCGGCGGCCGCGGAAGCAACCACGGTGGGCAAAGAAACCATCGCGGCGGCCAGGGCGGTAATGATAGGATAGGAACTACAATTCCAATGGTAAACAACATCCATGGCTGTACAATATGTTAACATTAAATTTAAGTAAGATAAATTATTTCTGAAATAAAAAGATTCATATTCATTCAAGCGTAAATTTTATTGTTTTCTATCTTGTATATTTGTATTTTTTTTCAGGGGTTGTATATATATTTTCAAAATGACTTTGTTTAGCATTCTATTGTATAATAACTAATATATCATGTGTAATTTCAAGCGCACTATATATGCTGCAAGCATTGTTGTGGATTTTCAAGATATTCTCAAAAAATCTGGGCAAAAGACAAATCAAGTCTTATATCATTTGACACTCTTCAACTTATAATTTTAGAATCAATATTAATTAATATATATGATACATAGCTTGGATGTTTGACTTACAACTAATTGATTTTATTATTTTCACATTTGGCACAAAAATGTGCCAAATAAAACCCGGCAGACCCGCGACTAACATAACCAAAAGAACGATTGTTAACAATTGCAAAAAGTAGGCTGAAAACGTTTTCGAACTAATATAAAACATAACATTATTACTTTATATTCATAGTTATTTATTAATTTTCATCACTAATTCAGTTATTAGTAAGATAAATGTAAAAACTGTGCCAAATAAACACTGGCAGGCCCGCGACTAATTTATCAAAAAAAAACACAACTTTCACTATGTCGATAATTTGGAAGAACGATCTAATCACTTTTTGGAGAACCTCTAATCACTTTTTTCAACTTTTCAATACAATAATTAATGGATATTCACTTTTTACCACTTTTTAATACAATAATTGATAAGATTTTTATTTCAAACAAAGATAATGCAAAATAAATGAAATTTAATTGAATAAATTATTATATTTTAATCCTTTTCATAAATTAGGTTTTAAATGTAGCCACGCCTTCGCCGATAAGCCACGCCCACGAAACTGTCAAATACCTGGGCATGCCAGTTGTGAGTCTGCCAGTTATATACACGTTCAAGAATTTGGTTCGATCTATTTACATTTACTAAAAATACTTCTATTTATGTCTTATCAATATTATTTGTATCATAGTTGTTATTGATATTATTATTTATGAATATATCATTCTATATATTCTAATAAATGCATATTGCGAAACATTTTTTACGCATTTGGTTTTCAAGAAAATGTAAATCAGTGCCCACACTAATAAATAATCGCGCCAAAATTTAATTTTCTGCAGTTGCAAGGATAGCAAAATTGCATTTCGTATTTCTTTCCAGTTTTAATCGTCGCAACAGTTGCAGGTATTTGTTTAAAGATAAGTTTACGTAGTTCAATTTTAAATAAGTAAGGGAGGTAAGTTCTCTTAAAAATTAATTTCAATTATTTAATTTAAATTTTTAAAAAGAGGGTTCATGCGGACACGTGCCCTCATCATGGGCTGTAAATGAGGAGAAGACTATGTAATTATGATCAGAAAATGTAGCAGGCTATGAACTAAATAAGATGCTGAAGGCGTGCGAGCCTCCTTCGTTTAGAGATTACTCTGAATTGGAGGCTAAGTTTATGAGAAGCACCACCGATTATAAAAACGTGAAGAAGTATGTAAAAAGAACTCAAAATCAATGGTGTATTGAGAACTCAGACGATAACACTCTGAGCTCTATCTCTACGAAGCATCAGCTTCACAGATTCAATCCGTGAAAAAAAAAAACTAACTTTATGTTACCTATTAAGACGAATGAAGAATTAGGCGATTTAAAAAAAAAGCTGAAAAATATGGATATCTTCAGGGATTTGGTAAATACAAATATTTTCTATAGTTAATGTTTCTATAGTTAATATGCAATGTATTTAATAAGTTTTTTTACAGTCGATTCAGCTAACTCTGACTGGCAGAACAAACAAGAAGCAATTGATTACATCAATGCTAAAAAAATGTATGAGCAAAGACCTTACAACTTTGTTTTCAAGTGTGGGTCGAAAGGGTAAGAGAAACCCTTGAAAAAGTAAATGTAATTCTTGTTCAATTATTTCATCTACACACATTTTCTTTTTATTAGGGAGCAATATATGACAATCACTATTAATTGACGAATATATTTTATATCCATTTATTTTAACAAAATCAATCTTGGAATTTTTTTATGTATTTCAATATCATTTGGATCTACATTTGATTTATCATGAAATTGTTCGAGTAGTCTGCATGATACTTGTTGCAAAGGCTTTGCTGGTCCTCGTATCAATTTTAGGAACTGTCCCAAGTAACTCTCAAATGGAAAACAGCCGTACTGGTCAACACTGATTTCTTCCCTTACTGCATCATTTATCATGTAAAAAATACCATGAGTATTATATACAAGCATGCATTCCCCATATAGTTTTACCAATCGCGAACAATACCAATGCCTGATCCCATAATTTTTTATTAGAGTTTCTGAACATACAATTCTCATAGCAGCATGAAAGTTAAGAACATTTTGATATAGCGTTCTGGGAAGATAAGTTTTTAGGACTGCATATAGCATGAAAAATCTAAACTCTGTCGCCGTCCATTTTTCTAGATCCTTAAATCCACGAGGTTTCAAGATACAAGATATAATAGTGTGACTTAGAGCGCATGGAAGACTCCGATTTTTTATCCAAGAATTCAATGGTGAAATGAAAGAAAATCTTTTACACAAGAATTCGAATGACATTGAAAAAAAAGTGGTGCACATGTGGAAGACATTCCTTTTTCCGAAATTTAAAAATCGTATATATAACAAATAAAATATTCAACTTGAGTTTACATGGTACAAGCAACAACATGAAAAAGCATACTTAAATAAAATATGGATCGAAAATTTGAGCATTACAAACATTGAAACGTATATGGAACTAAAAAATATAAATTAAGTATTTTCGTTTATAGTAAAGGAATAAAAACTTAACCAATTACAAAATGCGCAGTCTCTTGTATGTTCAAAAATAAATCTTATGCAACGTTAAATATGTATAGCTTTAATATAGTGACAAAATAAAAAAATAGAACTAAAATTATAAGAAGCATGGTTTACCTTTATTATAGCGATAGTATGTGCTATTAGTAACTATAATTATATTATTAATAATTCATCTAATTTTACATTCATTTTAAAGTTATCACATTGAATGTATTGTAGGAATGTATTCAAGCGTTTGTAGTTTTCCAATTGTAAGTTTAGTGAAAAACAAAGAAAATTTTATTATATCTTACAAGTTTATCCTACAAGTTACATGTGTTGATCGTTGAATATTTAAAATTGGTTAAATATAGTCTATTGCATTAAAAACTGATTATTCTCTTCAAGAATTTCTTAATATTTGCAAATATCAATACAAATTTTTAATATCGATTTCGAGTGCGAATCGATTTTACTCCATATTACTTTTTCTTTATATAATATCCAGGCTGCATAACATGTTTCAATTTCCTTTTTATATCAATTTAACAAACCTAGTAGATACATATACATAAGTGATTTGGTAAAGATTGGGAAGAACTTTTACCAGAGATCAGTTAAGTCAGTCGAAGGTCCCAAGATTTTACAATCACAATTGAATTGGACAAATCAGTCTTCGCGACCTTGAATAATTTATATAAGTATTGAAATATCTTCGTTTGCCAATAGATTATAGCATTTTATACATGGTTACGATTTGCGTACAAATTAAAACAATCCTCTTGATTTGAACCTTTGAGCAAATATTATTTATTGTGATGTCACTTCCTTCTTCGACTAAACTAAGGTCAGTTAATCCATGGTTAAGAAATCCGTACAAATTAAAACTATGTTCCTGATTAATTATGCATGGCGATGAAGAATCTTCAAGCTGATACTATTTATTGTGATGGCACCTTTTTTAAATATCTCAAAATTATTAAATGTGTCATAATTCCTTCTGTGACTGAATTATAGATATCATTTTATTTAACATTCGGTATTGATCTTCGAAGAAAAATAATCAAGTAGCCAAATAGATCCAAAATTAAATAAAAAAATGTTGAAGTATGAAGTATTCATACTTTGCATCCGCTTCAAATTTGATATTTGGTTAATAATGTAAATCCAGGGCGGTTTCTTCTATTTGGTCGAAAACTACTTTGAGTAGTTCACAATTATAAAGACATAAATGTCCTTGACTGGATTGGAACTAACTTCTATTTGGATGTTCCAAATAGTTTGGCATCACAATGAGCATTATAAATCACATTTCCTTTTTCATTGTCATGTGTGACTTTTCAACAAATAGACCAAGAAAATTGTAATGTAAATAAATCATAATTACGGAGACTATCGAAATCAAAATTGTATATGAAATACTGTGCATTATACACTAAATCCTCGTGTTATGCATTTGTCTCAAAGTTAATTCCTTCCATGACTATGCTCTCTTCAAATATTCATATCGTCTGTCGTGTTCAAATAAATGAGTCATTATAGTAAATATTAATCATATTGCTTACTATTTTGTTCTCTTCCAAAAATACTTAATTATTCTGATTCCGATAGATTTGCAATTTGGTTATTATATTATCGTTAGTTATTGTTGAACCTCAATAATAGTGGTTTTACTTCAATTCAGTCATTATCTCTGGTTTCATGTACTTAATAATTTTTCATTCAATTTATAATACAGTAGAACTCCAATTATCCGAATTAGTGGGGACCGGGACCCATTCGGATAATCGGAGTTTTTTTTAAAAAATTGCCATTGGAGAGAAAAAAAGCTACGTTTTGATATTGCACTATTTTTTTATTGAATTAAATGAAAGAAACATTGCATTTTCACATGTTTTAAATATAAATAAAATGTACTTAAACGAGTTAAAAAAAAATGTACAAGTTTAGAAATAAAAATCATTGTTTTGTGAACATCTCCGTCAAATCAAAACAAACAATGTGCCTACACTGGGCTTTGCTGGTGGAAGAATAATAGCGCACTTAGACTTTTTTTTGGACAATTTTTTTTTCTGAAAGTGATTCGGATAATCGGCGATTCGGATAGTCGAAGTTCGGATAATTGGAGTTCGGATAATTGGAGTTCTACTGTACTCCTATTACCATAATTTATTATCTTAACATTTCCTATTATTTTCTTTAAAAAATTTCTTTTCTTTTCTTAGTTATTTATTTTATTTCCAAATTTGTTTTGTTAGCATTCAACAAGTTTCTTCGTGACTGCTATATATTTTAACTAATTTTACATATTCAAAGACTAAAATCACATATTATTTAGTTTTATTATCACAACATTGATTTCGAAAAAAAATCACAATTCAAGAAAACTACCGACAAATTTACAATACATTACATACTGCATTACTAACGCGTTGTTTTTTTTAGATTTATTTTCGCTTAACAAGAAACTCTTGAGCAAATAAAATTATATGTAACATAGTAGCACACGTAACTAAACAGCTCAATATCATCCGGACGATTTAAAAAATAATTTAAAAAAATGACACATTCTAACAATTTTCTAGATTTACTAAAACACGAGTTATGCTTTTTATGTAGGGGATTGGCATGCAACACTCTACCAAATAGAAACAAGAAATTTGAAAAAAAAAACAATTATTTAAATTTAATATATTCACCAGAAAGTAAATATCTTTTATCTTATGTTTTCAATACAAAAACTTTATATTCTTTAAATTCAAGATGTATAACTTGATGTTGCCTTCTACAATTCTAGTATTCTATTTACATGTTTTGGATTTTGAGTTCTCTACATGGTGCACCACTAGTGCTACAACATGGTAATACAGGGTCCGGCACTCGAAGTGTAACCAATTGAAAGAGCCATAAATTCAGTTTGGAAAATCAATTTTACTCGATTTAAAGTACAAAATGTGTAAAAGTAATACAAAATTTAAGAACAATTCACTTTTGCTCGACATGACCACCTTTTGCTTTGACTATGACCTTTAGACGGTCCAAAAACAAATCGCATTTGG